TGTTAGAATATGATGCCTACTTCATAAATATTGTTAAAAGTATATTTATATATGGAAATGGGGTGTCCATGGTCACTTATGGAGCTTGGTGGTCATCTAGTGGAAAAGTCTGGTATTGCACCCAAACAAAAATCACACTGAAAGCAAATTTTTTTGAGATATCAACCTCAAATTTGGAACTTTTAGATTTGATTTTCTAGCCGTTTTAGAGTTCTGTAAAATACAGTGTTCGGAAGGTTACTTTGGCAATGTAATAGGTTACAGATGACAAGTTACCCTATGCAAAATGTAATAAGTAGCATAACTATTTAAATTACTTTATTAATGTAACTGTTTTTTTTTTCACATCTATTGATAGTTTTCACATGACATCACGCTTATAGGAACGCCCATCTGGAGGGCAAAACAAAGCTTTGTTCCACTGACCGCCAGTTATTTTTACGCAGTTTGCATTAAGTAGTAATGTAGTAAAACGCAGATATTAAAAGGCGAAATTCAGTAAACACCTTATTGATGATATATATTTTGTACAGGCAAGCAGATGAAGCCAGAATATAAACGCAATGTGCAAAGTTTCACATTAAATGGTTTCCAAAACCATTAGAAGGAAAACACTGAACCATTAAGCGGATTGCGTGGGGGGGGGATTATTATGTTTTGAATATGGTTACTTTTCTTACAAAAATGCATTGATTCGCTACAGGAGGCCTTTGTTCACTCCCCCCCCCGAGCCGTGTGAGACACTTTGTTTTATGGATGGACACTTTTTATTTCACTTCTTTTGGACTGTTCAACTGCAACACCCGCTGACTGCAATGATAGAGCTTGGAAGAGCCAGGACAATTTTAAATATAACTCCCGACTGGATTCGTCTGAAAGAAGAAAGTCATATACACCTAGGATGCCTCGGGGGTGAGTAAAACACAGCCTAATTTTAATTTTTGGGCGAACTAACCCTTTAAGGCACTTTAAGTGTTTTTACAACGTTTTGTCGCACTGTTTAATGATTGAAATATTGCCGCGGGTGCTTAATATGGATTGCAAATGGCCAAAACTTGCATTTTGTTCACATACCTTTGTTTTATTCTTTTGAGAGGTGATCTAAAATATTTGCGGCTGTGAAACTGATGGAAAATTGACAGGCTTGTCCTGCAGTTCTATGAATGTTTTGCCCTCCAGGGCTACGTTCAGACCCGACAAAACAGTGCAAAACGTTTTTTAAACGGAAACGGTGGTGCGTTGAACACCCTGTTCTGATGACGCAAGAGTTGCAACTATGGCAGCTGAGAAGGCCATTCTTTGTGTTCTTTTTGAAGAATTTTCGGAGCCTGATGAAATTGATATAAATACGTGTTTAATACTGCAGTATACGCTCGATGTTACAGTCACAGTCCTTGCCGTCCAGAATAAAGGAGAACATCCCAATCGAGTGAAGGGATTTGTGGAAACTGTGGTTCCTAATTATTGTGATCCAACATTTGCCTCGCATTTCAGGATGAAAAGACAAACATTTCAGGTGAAGGATAATCCACTTCTTACCTCCGAGACTGTGTTATGATCTATATGACCTTATTATTTTTATTGTGAGTATTAGGCTTATCATTATTGCTGATCACTGTTGTTGTGCTATGTTATTGTAATATTTACCATTATATAATCAGAGGGGTATAGAAAAGTTTATGAAAGTGTCACTCCATAATACAATAGCAAAATATATAAATATGTATTGTATTTTTATGTTACATTAATCAGTATTTAGCACACCTTCCTAAGGAAAGGATATGGACCAGAAGACATTGTAATTACTAAATGATATTTAGACAGACTTAAAGAAGTTCCAGATCTATACTTGTGCTCTTATTATTTCAGTTATTTTGCCTTTAATGTAAATAAACATGTGCAAACAATATACTTGCTCTTGTGAATTTATTTTGATGTTAATTGCATTGTGCCAGCTGTCTCTTTAATACCGCGTGGTTTATATACATGTTGCTGCTGATTGGGCTGACATTTTTGAATCACCAAACAAGAGAAAATGTATCTCAAACCCCGTTGCACACCGTTTCCAGGAAACATGTAGTTCAAACCGGAAACCGTAGCAAAACGTTGCGCACCGGTTTGAGCTTGAACTTGCCCCAGGTCTTCAAGCCGGTCATGTGACTGAAAGCTATGAATTATAACCTTAACAATTTCTTCGCCTCCGAATGCACACGCGTGCGTCGTTATACTCTCTTGAACAAACGGCAGAGACAGGCACGGAAGAAAAGAAATAGTTAAATAAAATCATTCATTTTGTTTTCATTGTGCACAAAAAGTATTCAGATAGATTCATAACATTACAGTTGAACCACTGATGTCACATGGACTATTTTAACAATGTCCTTACTACCTTTCTAGGCCTTAAACGTCTCAGTTGCGTTGCTGTCTATGCAGGGTCAGAAAGTTCTCAGATTTCATCAAAAAATAAGGTCTTACGGGTTTGGAACGACACGAGGGTAAGGCATTAATGACAGAATTTTCATTTTTGGGTGAACTACTTCTTTAAATAATATTTAGAGCAAAAAATCACAAAAACACAAGCTTACTGTATTTTATTTTCTGAAAAAAGAGTGCAAAACATATGACATACCAGTATGTACAGCACATAATAAAAGGATGCAATCACGTGACCTCGTCCACCTCGTCTATCATCCACTGTTTAGGGGTAACTATTTACAAAACGAAATAGTCACATGTTTACCTTTACAGTAGAGAAACCAAATACAAGTTACAGTCCTAGACCAGCAGGCCTCATTAAAAAAAGGTTCAAAAGGTTCAAAACTGACTTCCATTTATTATTTTTTAGCTTACTAAACAGAGCCCTCTGCTGGCTAAAAGTGAAATTGCATATGATCCACTTTTCATCCCATAATGCTCCCCTATCTGTGACAGACAGCATCGTCTTCTTTCAGATGTGCCTTTATTAAGATACCTGAAAAATACCGTCAGAAAATTCCCTGGAAATATGCATCGATAGACTGGGTGTGAAGTATAGCAGCCTGTATATGATACACAATAGATCGCGTTAGAACCAGATACCTACAACTTTTCTCTTTATGGTACCCAGAAATAAGGGTAGAACATTTACACTGTTGATAGAGGTATATGTATGTGACTTTGGGTTTTGTTTGGCTAAATCTACCAGAATATGAAAACAGTATTGGACTATCTGAATTGAATGAGCATGTTGCTATTATTAGCTGAACTCTTTCAAACTTTGTTTTTCCATGAAAATGTGAATGGTACTCATACAAGAGTCGTGCTATGGTGTTTTGGGTGGTTGCTAGATGGCTACTTTCTGGCCTAAATCAAGAGTCCACATCCAATCCCTCATTCAACTCTGGGATTTTTAGGTCTTTTATTACCCACCGAAGTGAAAACTGTATGATAACTTAGAAAAGTAGCCCACCCTCCTTAACAGATTTGTACTGTATGAGGTATAATTCATATCTGTTGGACAAACGGATGATTTATGCATCAAAATAGTGAGTTTTAGTAAAACTTCTAATCTTAAATATGATCAATATGCATTAGCATAAACCACTTACACAATGATCCTCTATATATTAGTTTGTAACGTATTGTCATAACATTACTTTGAATGTTTGAATGAATAATCAAATGTCTTTGTTGACTTGCAATAGATGATCTGGACATGGACTTGATCTGTAAAGTTTAGCTATATAGGTCTCTTAAATAATTTAATTTGAATTTTCTTAAAGTCCAAACGATAATAATTTAGTTTTCCATGTCAGTTTCCACCCTCTTTCTGATGTTGGAATTAAACCGGCTGTTTTTGTGCTGCTGTGCCTTTAAGACTTTATGCAAATGTCCTTCTTTGCATGTGAAATGAGAAACATGTGAGCTGTGGGGTTGCTAATATAGTTTACACTGCCCCATGTAACTGATCCATAAAACAATTTGCGCTGTAAATGAACTTGTTTCCAACATTGGGATCCTTTCGAAGGATCTGCAGAGCTGTAGGTGCTACACACAGCCAAAAACATCACCATATGTGGTGGATTTCACCACTTTCACAATTTTACTCTTATCATTAGTTCTTCTGGGTTTTAGGAGAATGACTGCACACCCAATATGTGAAGTGGGTAGTCATATGTTAATGAGCTTGCCAAGTTTCAATAAATGCATTTTTTTTTTGCACTGGATTTTTAAATTCTGATCGTTATATAATGAACTCTGTAATTACAAATAAGGAAAGTCTCATTCCTAATGATATGACCTATTCAGACAAAAATAAAACACCCAGAATGACAGAAAGAAAGGCATGTCTTCTACCTTACACTTCTTCTCTAACACATACAGACATCAAAGAGCTCTGAGAAGCAATGCTGTCAGACCTGGAGAGAGTGTGAATGTGAGCATCTGTTACAAACTCATTAAAAATGAAGGCCCAATTTCTCACAGTAACTGTCGACTCCATTTCTATCGATAAAGCCATGACAATACCGAAAAAACAACAACACAGAAGTGACCCCAAAAAATGAGCATAAAAATAAGACTCTTTATCCAGCAGACATCTGTTTGAATTCATGGTTTGGCGACTTACATTCAGACATTTGAAAAGTAAGTGTGTGTTCAGTCTATTCCAGCAATAAATCGTGACTATGTAACGTCAATGCAGTCTCATCTCCAGTACAGAGACGCGTCACCTCTGCAAGACATCTTTGCTTTTTGTCGACATAAAAGCTGACGGAAACTAAATTATGGATTCACATAAAACAGGATTCAGACCTATTAGGGTTAAAGTCAACTTGCACTTCATCCCATTCCCTCTTGATTGAAAAGGAAGTGCCCTTGGTCACCACTGAAAAAGAGATTTTGGCTTTAGATTTTTATTTCATTCCATTGCTGTAGTTCACGTGTTCTTTAGGGGGTGCTATCATGCTCGCATAAAGCCTGTCCCCTTTTGTGCCTTGTTTTGTGGAGTGAGTCTGCGGTCCAGGAGTAGGAGTGACAGGAAGGTCAGGGATCATACCATTTGTGAGTGCGGGGGTGCTATAATTCACTGTGTCGTACAGGAGGTTCTAGCTTGTGGGACAGAGCGGTGAGGACCTTGTCAAACTTCTCATAGCGCTCGGCCTGGCTTCCTTCAGAGCCACGACTGCCCCATAAAAGCCTCATCTGAAACTCTGTGCGGAAGATTTCCAGCACCTCCTTCCGCTCCTGGAAATCTGTGTGGAGACAGATTGTGAACAACACATAAAGTATGTAAAAATAGGACTAGTGCACTGCAAATTACAGTATGTGCCAGAATGCTATATTGTATATATCTTCAAAGTGTACATCCATGCATGCCTTTTAGGCTAATATTAGTAAATTATTATTTATTAAGTTCAGTTTAATAATTGTGTCTAATAGTAAATACTTGGATTTGATATTGTTGTTAATAGTTTACCCTGTAGTTTGCTCTCAGCGTTGGTGCGATACAGTCCTCCGTGGTGAGCGATGGTTCGTGCTGCTTCCAGGTGACTCATGACCACGTCCACTCCAGACTCCACGCTCTCCCAGGACTCCAGCGCCTCGCCTGCCGCCACACCGCGCTCCAGCAGCGACAACACCGGCACCACGTGAGGGAAAGAGGTGTTCGAGAGGACACAGGTCTCTGAAAGATTAATACATAGTTATAAATAAATAAATACCTCCCTACCTACTTACATAAATAAATCTAATATGTGTGTATGTATGTATGTATGTGTGTATATATATATATATATATATATATATATATATATACCAATTACTTATTAAAGATTGATAAGTAAAATGAAATATTAAATAATAAATTAGTAGAATCCAAATAGTCTCTGATCGTTTATTACAATCATTATATTTCTTTTATTATCAATTATATTTCTTTTATAAGATATTATCAGAGGGTATTTCAAATAAATAATGTACTTGGACATGAACTCAAATACAGTAATGTTAATAAATAAAACAGTAAATCTAGTAAATTACATCAATATCAATTGTAATGAATATTAATTCCATTAATATTAAGAATTAATGGTTGACCGATATTGATTTCTTCGATGTTGATATCGATATCTTAGAAAGCAGTAAAGCAAATACCATATATAAAAATATACGGTACATTATTTTTCACAATTTAATTCAAACAACATGCAGAATTGCTGCAATTAAATTTAGATTTATTTTAAATATTTAAATCAAAAATAAATCAGTATTACAAATATAATTCAAATCTGTAAAATCAACAGATTTATGCTTTAGCAACATTTTGATTCTGTAATCCTATTGCAGTAGTTTTGCACACTGGGAATCATATTTTCTCAAATAAAGACCAGGTAACACTAATTTTACAAACAGAACAATGACATATGACATGAATATGACATAACAGCAAACTGGATATAACACAGCATAGTTTGAAATCATGAATTTAAAGATTGCCCTCATGTCTGAACACAGGTGCTGCTGTTCTTATCACTATCAAAATAAAAGTCCTGCCACTGTCAAAATAAAATCTCCTTCTGACACTTATCAGCCAAAAAAATAAAATAAATAGAAAAAAATAAAATAATAAATTAAACAAATAATTACCGGTCAATACAATACGGCCTTTGGAGATATATCAATCAAACACTATGAAGAAAAGCACTATATTGTCGCTGTAAATCTTTACCAATTTCTTAGGAGTTGCTAATGTCACTAATAATAATCTTCTGTAGAAGGTTATTTAAAGCACTCTGTCCTACCTTTCCCATCATTCATGGCCTTCAGGAATGGCTTGAGTTTCTTCTCATAGAGGATTGCACCTTCTGTGTGTCTCTGTCGCAGTGTGATCCACGTCTGCTCGAGCCGTGAGATCTACAACAAACATCACAGAATATATATAAATATATAACTGAAATATATCCAGAATTACTTCACAGCTGTGTGTTTACTGGAAATAACTGCAACCTTACAACCTTATTCATCACAAGTTGCAAATCGACGAATAATGCATCTAAACAGTACTTACACTTTGATATACATTTTATATTTAGTTTTAGTTAGTGGTGTTTAAAGTGATAGTTCACCCAAAAATGAAAATTGACCCATGATTTCCTCACCCTCAAGCCCAGTGCACAGTATATGACTTTCTTCTTTTAGACGAATACAGTCGGAGTTATATTAAAAAATGTCCTGACTCTTCCAAGCTTTATAATGGCAGTGAATGGGTGTCGAGATTTTGAAGCCCCAAAAAGTGCATCCATCCATCATCAAAAAGTGCTCCACATGGCTCCGGGGGTTAACTTCTGAAGAGAAGCGATGCATTTGTGTAAGAAAAATATTCATATTTAAAACTTTTAAAGAAGGCCTTCATTAACCCCTGGAGTCGTGTGGAGCACTTTTTATGATGGACGGATGCACTTTTTTGGGCTTCAAAATCTTGCCAAAATTCCATTATAAAGCTTAGAAGAACCAGGACATTACTCTGATTGTATTTGTCTGAAAGAAGAAAGTCATACACGCCTAGGATGGCTCGAGGGTGAGTGACTCGGGTAATTTTCAGTTTTGGGCGAACTATCCCTTTAAAGAGAGCATTAAGCTTTAACGCTTAACATGAATGGCACCTCATATGCTGTGGTGTGAGAGGACAGGTGTGCGTTCTCACCTGCGGCAGCTCCAGGGCTCTCATGACCGCAGCGAATCCGTACATGTTGCCCATGTTGCTCTTGAGTTCAGCAGCCAGCTGGATGGTTTTATGCAGGAGGGCGGCTCTCTCCTCTGTGCTGCCCGTACAACCCAACAAATCCACCGCCATCATTATAGACATGGTGTAAAACCTGTTGAACAGGAGACAAAGCTGATCACTCAAATATATTCAACACAGCTTTTGAAAGAAGTTTCTTCTGCTGTCACATGATCCTTCAGAAATCATTCTAATATGCTGATGTTCACCTAAAAATGCCAATCTGCTGGTTGAAATAGAGTTAATTACTGGTCGACAGAATTAAACATCATTGGCTGCTGATGCCTTCAGAACAGCTGAAGTCTGTGGTGTGTCCTGATGTTGTTATCTGTGTATGAGTGCAAGTGTTTCCTCACCTCTCCAGCAGATCCAGCCTCAGCTGGTGTCCATGCGGAAGAGTCAGCTGCTCCAGCCCCGAGCTCACTCCCATCATCCTCTGCATCTCCTTGGTAACGCCCAGTATCCTAGCAACCTGCAGATGGCCACACAGTTACAAGAGCAATATATTCAACCCCACCCCTTTATTTCCATCCTAATATATTCACAGTCAGAGCAGAAGACATTTAATTAGCCTTGAACTCATCACATGATAAATGTGGTAAACAGCAGTGTGGAAAGAGTTTATTAACCCTGAAGGTTTCGATGTTAATGGAAGACAGCACTGAGAGCGCGGGCAGATGAAAGGTTCGAGATGCCGTCCAGACTTTATCAGTCAGCTTCTCATGTGTCTTACGTAATGTCGTCTGCTCTCAACGATCAGAATTATAAATATGCACCCAACCAAAACCTATCTAAAGCTATCTAACTAAACCCAACTAAAAGTCTATATATATATATTAAAACTGAACCTGGGCTACATATGTAAAAATATGAAAAACACAATGGTTGTGTTTTTTGACCTATTATACATTTGTGAACAAAACAACAAAAAAAATGTGTCTAGAAAATGTATTTAAAAAAATATCAGCAAGAAACTATTAATTAATAGAAACTAAATAATATTTTTACAATGATAAAAAACAAACAAACAAAAAAAAAACATTTACATTAAATGTTAAAAATTGTGCCTCACATCAAATCATCTGTTTGTGCATTGGATAAAATTCAATACAATGATACAAAAGTAGGAAAAAAAAAAAATCCTGACATGACCCAAACTTGAAACTTTTTAAAATTAAAATTGTATCAGCAACATTTCAATCAATTGACCTTCTTCACTCTTACGTAACCCTGAAAAATTTTCATTGACTGAATTGTTTTATTACGAACACTTAACAATACTCTTTGCTTTGTATATAATTCATGAGAAGCAGTGAATCAACACACCGAAGATGGCCAATAGCCGAAACGTGTTATAATGTTTATTTCCTGCCAAAATTCAATAAATATTCTTTTAGAGTGCAAATTTTTTATTTTATGGTTAAAGATGTATTGTTCTTGTCACCTGATTAACGCGGTGACTGCATTGATTGAACCACTGCTAATAAAATTGGGTAATAATGTATATAGGGAAACATTAATATAGCCACTGAGTGTCAGTTTATTCTTTTTTACCGTGCAATCTGCCTTGGTGATGTGCTTGGCGGCTGTTTTGGGATCCACCTCCGCCAGCAGCTCCTTTACCCTCTTCAACACGCTCATCTCCAGAGGCTTATTCTCGGCTGGCAGAAGAGTGGACTGGTATTTCCCAGGCTTGAAGGAGGAGCTGGTCTCTACCAGGGGGAGCATGAAGCCCTCCACCCCGTCTGGGGCTCCAGAGCCTGGGCTTTGGCTCTCCTCCACCCTCAGCCTCTCTACGTAGCTCTTGCAGGGAGGAATGGGGGCTTGACCGGGTCTCAGCTCACAGTAACTGCCGCCCTGCTCTGAACTCTCAGACGGGTAACCGTGGGCAGGCGTGGAGTGGGTGCTGGGGGGCGCGTCTGAGCAGGGAAGGTTGTTATTGGAGGAGGATGGCGAGAGATGGGGATCGCTGGAGCGCCGCATCACTGGAGAAGGCGGGATCACGGCGAGGACACGCCCTCCTGAGCCATGTCTGTGGCGGGAGACTGGAGAAACACACAAAATAACAGATTTTACTACACAGCTCTCTGAAATGCTTGATTCTGATTGGTCGGTTGCAACATTCCAAGTTCATTTGCAACCGCTGTGAATAGCAATGACCGCTCAACCTGATTCTGACTCTTCTTATATGTCTTTCATATCACACCACAGGCATGCTCTCTCTGCTTCATTCAAGCACAACTAGTGTCATCGTGGCCCTCAGTAATTGACTGCATTTAAAATGAAACTGGAGGACTTCAGTATTAAGGGTGTGTTCATACAGAATGCATTTTTAAAGATTTATTTTTGGCGTTTTATGCCTTTTATTTAGAAAGGACAGTAGGTTGACAGGAAGCGAAGTGGGTGAGAGAGAGGGGGATGGGATCGGCAAAGGTCCGCAAGCTGGGACTCGAACTCAGGACGCCCAAAGCGCAACGATGATACATGTCGGCGCGCTGCCCACGATGCCATCGGTGCCAACCAGAATGCATTTTTGAGTTTAAAAATGTCTGGCGCTTGGTAGTGAAATGAAAAAGGTCTATTAACTTCATTCAAATTGAGCTCAGAATTTTTAGAATGTGAGATGCTGCAAAAGTGGAATGCAAAGATTCCTTGCATTTTTCTGTTTCATTTTGCATTTTGTGGCTAAAAACATGAGGCGGGGTAGTGAAATTCAAGGTTTAGAGACATGTTTTTCAAAAGTTTATCTTCTTTTCATTAGTTTTGTGTGAATGACCCCCAAAAGTAGGCCTATGGTTATATTGTTGTAATGTTTGTCTCATTGGCAGAATGATTGTTTTGTTCACTGGAAAGGGGCTGTTCACATAGAATGCGTTTTTTCTATTCCACTGCACTACTTTCCATGTAAACATGTTCTAGATTGATGTGTTTGACCGTTGTGTTTGCGTCTTGCGTCTTTTCAGCGTCTTGCGGCAGTACAGAATGTTCTAAAAGCATGGTGCTCAAGTTGAAGTAAGATCTACTTAAAAAAAAAAAGCCTTGCGTTTTTTCCCATTCCACTGCCTGCGACTCAGGGTTTTCAAAGGAAAAATGCGTTCAGTGTGAATGGAAACTAATGGATTATAAAATAATAAACAGGTCAGATTTTAAAATTTCTTCTCAAATCAATATTTCATGTCCCCGTTATTATTTAAGTGCCGAACATCTGTTTAATATGTGTATTAAGTCCCTTAAATGTCAGTCTTGTTTGAATTTGTTTGCTCATCTTGGCTTAAAGCTTGTCAAGAATGTTTTTTTTTCTTTGTGGAAGCTTTGCGTTTAATGAGCTAATAACATATTTCAAATCAAATCAGCAATTCACGCGTCGAGTTCCTGATCACCCTGTCTAGGTTTTTTTTCTGATAACAACCATCTGGATATATATTATTCTTTACATTATGGGTGAGCTAACACTTAAAAGGTGCGATCAGTGGGTTTAAATATTCAGATATATGCATGAGAGTGTGTGTGGACTCACTGGAGCTGTAGGCAGGTGATAGAGGTGTTTCCCCCACAGGGGACAGCGGGCAGCGGTACTCTTGGATCTGATCCATGCTCATGGCGCAGTTCCTCATGGCATCCTTATGGTGCACTGTAGAAGGGCTGGAAAGGACAAAACATGCTATTAAATCCTTCATTCTTTATGTCAAAACACATTTTACATGTCAAAACAATCAGCATTTTCAGCTTCTAATTTTGGTGAACAATTTATAAGCCACAGCTACAAGCTTTGTGAAGAACACATTAGTGCTATTGTGCTGCTAGACACGACATGCACTGAAGCAGGTGAAGGGTTTCCATGTGGCCAAATCTGTTTGGAAACAGAAGTGAGTGGGAGGGGGTCTGTGCCAGCTGTGAACAAACACACACACACACACACCAGCTGCTGCCCTCCGCTGGTTTCACCTCTGGATCGACTGTCTGAGGCTCATCTGGCTCTGTAGACTGTGTCGCACTGATAATACAAGACATCCTACATGAGCACATCACTCCTGCATCTTTGGCACATGTGTATATGACCTATTAGTATGCCTGATCTCAGACCTGAGACATCTGAACCTGTTCAAGATTAGGATATATATACTTAAGACATATTCAGAACAAAACAATGTTCTTTTGAGACTCTGAACCAATGTATGAATAATTGAATATGGTTAGAAAACAGAAAAAAACACAAGACAAAAACAAACAAACAAACAAACAAACAAAAAACAAACAAAACATTTTAATATCTTACTTTAAATCTTTTACGAAAGTGTCTCTGAACCAGTTTAATTTCTGGTGGTCACTAAAACACTAAATGAATATGATAATCAAAGAAAAAATCTTGACCAGGGGTGCAAAAAACTAAATGAATATGTTTAGGAAACAAAAACAAAACAAAAAACAAACAAAATGTTATTTTGAGACTTAACCAATTTAACTCACTAAAACAATTTAACTCCTGGTGATCACTAAAAACACTAAATGAATATGGTTACACAAAACAAAACAACAAGAAAAAAAACAACAACAATGAAAAAACAACAAAACAAAATGTTATTTTAAGACTCTGAACCAATTTAACCCCAGATGGTCACTAAAAACACTACATGAATATGGTAACAAAACAAAAAAAAACATTTTAATATCTTACTTTGAGTCACTGAACTCAATTTAACTTAAAACACTAAATAAATATGGTTACAAAACAAAACAAAACAATTTTGAGACCAATTTAACTCCTGGTGATCACTAAAAACATTAAATGAATATGGTTACAAAACAAAACAACAAAAACAAACAACTAAACAAAACCAAACAAAACAAACCATTATTTTGAGACTCTGAACCAATTTAACCCCAGATGGTCTCTAAAAACACTACATGAATATGGTAACAAAACAAAACAAAATATTTTTATATCTTATTTTGAAACTCTGAACCAATTTAAATCCCATTAGTCACTAAAAATACTAAATGAATATGGTTACAAAACAAAACAATTTTTTTTTTTTTGAGACTCTGAATCAATTTAACTCTTGGTGGTCACTAAAAACACTACATGAATATGGTCACAAAACAAAAAAGGCAGTATGAGTTTGCTACATTATTACGTAAGATGATGATGATAATGATAATGATGAAGGTTTACCTGTGAGGAATGATCTTCTCCGTCGTCAGTCCATCCGTCATAGTAACGCTTCGTCTCTTGATGTGCGCCCCCCTCTGGGTCGATGGTGAATGTGCAGATCCCGGTCTCCCACCGGCCAAAGCAAACGTCGCCTCCAGGTACCTCAGCGGCAGCATTCGGTTGACCGGACACAGCAGCTGAGCTCCAGTGCGTGGGCACACGGATCGACCCGTGCCAGCGTGGTGCCTGACCAGCGTGGGGACAGAGTCGAAGCTCTCACGCTCCAGCATGTACTGGATTTTGGTTTGCCCGCTTTTGACCAGGACTTTACTGATCCGACAATGGATCACTTCCTGCTGCCAGCGACATGTGAGGACATAGTCACCCATGGTCGACAGGGAGTCCCGTACGAGGAAGTCACCGCTACGCAGAACCAAAGTTTCTGAAGCCTGTGTTGACACAAAAGAGAAGGGATTATTAAAGGAAATGTTGCAAGCTGGACTCAAACCCAAATTTCCCACACACACCCCAGCTCAACGTGCCACTTTTTTTACTTTTTTTTTCCAGTAGAAATGTATAAATTTTATTTTAAACACATTTTAAATTCAAATAAATTCATTAAAATGACATTCTGTGACATTTGCGTTAACATTTTTACATCACTGTGAATCAATAGAATAACTTTTAAAAGATAGCGCTACATTTGTGCCGCATGCCTCTGTTCCAGCAGATGGCGCAACAGTACATTTGGTGAGGTCAACAGTGCAGCATGGGGGCGTATCGCCATGGCGACTAGCTATATTTTTTTTAATAGAGAGGGCTGGAGTTTCTCTTTTCTCCAGCTTGAGCAAGAATACATTATGCTAATGCCCAGATGGCTTCTCTCATAGTAGAGACAGTGTGGGCAGTAGTTTGACAGATCTATGGTGCACAAATGACACAAACACACTCTCTCACAAACACACCGACATAAAAACCCAAATAAACATGCACAAAACAAGCAAACACACACAGAAAACACTTGAAAACTGCTAACAAAGTTTTTTATTGAACAACTTCTCCGGTTGCACACTTGTTTGTATATCATGGTGTGGACTTCTCTTCGACGTCCATTGTTCTCAAAGTTGAGGCGTGTAAATCTTTTTGAAGTTAAAATACTTTCATCCATTACTGCTTAATATGCAGAGATAACTAGAAGTCTTTTGTTGGCAGTTTCCCGAAGCGTGAAACACTGGCACTTGCTATTGCTCTGTTTGTTTGAGAGAACAGTTTGGGATTTTGGGAAGGCAATAGCCATAGATGGCAGACAATCCTTTCACTGAACATGTGATGCATATTGCACACAAACACTGCCCGAAATCACCAGTTCAGATTTGATTGGCTAGCTTTACACAACTTCCAAGATTAAGGACACATGAGTTTTCAATGGTCTACCTAAAACATAAAAAGGTACCGGGATGATGCAACAAGCACTTTTGAGGATGAAATAAATCACCATCAAGTCTTTGAAAGTTATTTAGAGTTTTTTGAAGCTCCCAGTAGCAAATAAACGACACTCTCAAAAATAACGTTTCTTTAATGGCATTGATGTTCCATGAAGAACCCTTGACATCAGCTGAACCTTTCCATTGTACAAAAGATTCTTTAAATTATTAAAATGTTCCTTACACTTATAAACAAAATGGTTATTTTTAGAACTGTTCACTGAAAGGTCCTGTCAGTTCTTTTGGGCTTCTTCTATAGTATCGCTGCGAAAATAATTATTTAAACTATAAATTCACAATTGCTCGAAATAAAGTCATAATGGTGAGACTCGCAGTTCTGAATTTTTTCTTGCAATTGTGAGTTTTTCTCACAATTCTGACTTTTTTTCTCAGAATTGCATGATATAAACTCAATTGCGAATTATAATGTCAGAATTGCTGGACATAAACTCGTAGTTGCAACAAATAATGTCGGAATTCGCGAGATATAAAGTTGCAAATCTGACTTTTTTTCTCGCATTTCTGACTTCTTTTCTCAGAATTGTGAGATATAAACTCGCAAATTTGAGTTATAATGTCCAATGTCCAAAAAATACTGACTATCTTCTTACAATTGCAAATGTATGTCTCGCAATTCTGACTTTATATCATGCAATTGTGACTGTATATAATGCAATTCTAAGAAAAAAGGTCAGAATTGTAGGTGTAAACTATGAGATGAAAAGTCGCAATTACCTTTTTTATTTTTACTCAGTGGCGGAAACAAACTTCCATAATTTTTGTACACTGGTTCATTATTGTGGTTTAACCAATTTTACACAAATCCACCTCCAAATCCGAAAGGAACTTTGTCATTTTGCATCAGTTTCTTTTTGTCTAAGTGTCCAGAATAGGTTGCAAAGTGAACCAAACCCTATTCCGTTTAGTCGAAATTCTGGCTGCGTGAGTGTAAATCTTGGTCCACAAACGCACCTCTCGTGGAATATGGCCATGGTACCAGCCGTGGCTCCTCATGTCACTGCTACTGAGTTTGAGCTCCTCCTCCAGCTCCTTCCTGAGCTTCTCCGGGGGTGACTCCAGCAGGTACTTCTCCTTGGAGAACTGCAAAAAAAACACAAAACCAGCACATAAGTCACACTGCCCTACTTCATGAACACGGAAACATGTGATACAGCAAACTATTGATCACTCTGAGAAAAAAACAAAACATACTTGATTTTATAGTTTATTTCCTCACTTATAAAACTGACATATCAATCCATATGAGAAATTAAAAAGTAATTTGAGTCACGTAGAGCTTCGCTGCACATAGTTCTTCTTTATAATTGATGTGATGTCCAACCCTGTTGCTAAAAACAAATAATACATGTAATACATGTAATACAAAGCATACAACTACACATTGCAGAATGAGACTTCCTTGTCTCACCCAAAGAATTGTCCCAAGTGTGTCCATTTAGACAATGGCACTCTGTGTCCAGTAGAAATAATGTGTAATCTATGAGCGTGACAGTTCAAGGCGAAGGTCTCGACCCTCTGTGACACAGGAAAACTAATCCAAACACAGGCGGCATTGTAATGAAGTCAATAAAAAGACAACGGACAAAGCTTAGGGCACAAACAGGGCTCAAAGTCTGTGAATATGGGAGATGCTGGATCAATTTTGCAATCCTGGGTCACTCTAATGGTCTCTTCCTCTCTCTGTCTGAGGTAAACCGATTAAACATCTGCTTCCTTTCCCTCTTCAACCGTCTTTTACACATGGGAACAGGAAAAGATGCTAGATTTCAGCAATCCTATGTCATTTAACTGGTTGTGTGTGTATGTGTGTGAAGTGTATAAAGATAGTGAGGCAAGGTCAAGTGTAGGGAGTTATTGCTTTTGTCTCTGCCTCCAGGGGCCGAATCCACCACCTGGGCCTAACCAGACCTCTCTGTAATCTCATATTGGCGTCTGTAATTGTCTTTTGCTGCTTGAAGATGGCCACAAGGTACAATATTCTGGTCTCATATATTCTCGATTTTGGACTATGGGGAAAACCCAGTGTGTGAGCGATAACAGGGCTAGGCTGATATGAGTACTTCATATTGACTTATGAGAGGTACCTCTCACAGGAGATGGGTGACCCTTTTCCAATTTTTTAAAAATTTTATTAGTTTTTATTCGAGGAGTGAGTTAACTTGTTTATATGAAGTTTTGCTCAAACTGTACTTCCGAGAGAACAGATGAGATGAGACAAGATGAGAAAAAAATAAGATGAGCTAAGAAAAGCAAAAAGCCAAGACAAAATACAAAAAGAAGAGGTTAATCGTGACAAGAAAAGAGTTGAGACAAAATGAGAAGAAACACGATGAGAAAAGACAAGTTGAAAAAAGTAAGGTGAGACAAAGCAAGGCAAGAAATTATGCAAAATCTAGATGAATTGAGACAAGAAAAGATACGATGAGACAAGACAACATGAAGTGAAGTGAGATGAGACAAGAGCGAGACAAAACAAAATGCAAAGAGGTGAACTGAGATAAGAAAGGAGAGAAGAGACAAGATGAGACGTGACTAGAAAAGACAGGACGAAAAGAAGTGAGCTGAGACAAAAGAAGAAAAAAGAAAATGAGACAAGAAGAGATAATAGAAGACAATATGAAGTGAAGTGAGAAAGGTGCAAAACAAGGCAATAATACAAGATGCAAATAAATTAAGACAAGAAGAAATGAGACAAGATGAGACAAAGGTGAGACAAAATTAAGACAAAGCAAGGTAAGAAAAGATGCAAAAACTGTATGAATTGAGACAAGAAAATATAAGATGAGACAAGATGACGAAGTGAAGTGAGATGAGACAAGAGCGAGACAAAACAAGGCAAGAAAAGTTGAAAACAAGATGAATCGATACAAGAAGAGACGAGATAAGATGAGAAGAGAAAGGTCTAGATGAGTAAAGACAAGATTAGATGAAGTGAGGTATGATGAGACGAGCAAGACGAAATAGGAAAAGGAGGTAAATTGAGAAAAGAAGAAATGAGACAAGAAGAGTAGAGATGAGCAAAGACGATACAAAGTGAGGTTAGATGAGACAAGAGCAAGACACAAGACAAGAAATTATGAAAAAACAAGAGGAGACTCGAGACAAGAGAAGAAGAGATGAGGCAAAATGAGTGGACGAGACAAGATGAGAAAAAAACAAAAGCAGATAAAGTGAGGTAAGAGGAGACAAGAGTGAGAGGAGACAGGGCATACGATATGAAAATAAGAGGTGAATTAAGCCAAAAAAAAGAGAAAAGATAAGACGAAAAGAGAAAAGACTACACTTAACAAAATGAGGTTAGATGAGACAAGAGATGTAAAAAGCAGAGGTGAATCAAGACAAGAAAAGTAGACATAAGATGAGAAGAGACAAGACAAGACAAAGCACTGCAAGATGACATAAGGAGAGGTAAAAAAAAGAGACAAGACAAAAGCAAGACTAATTCTGGCAAGCTGATAATTTATAGGAAGTTGTGGTGAGATGAGACCATGAGAAGAGATGAGAAAAGAGACAAAGAAAAGATAAGAAAAGATGAGACATGGTAACACAAGAAAAAAAGAGATGATAAGATGTGAGGTGAGATGAGACAAGTTAAGAGGACAGCAAAATAAAGAAGGGCATTGTGACAAACTAAAAGATGAGACAAGATGAAAAGTTAGGGTGAGATGAGACAAGGGTGAGATGAGACAAGATGCAAAGTTAGGGTGAGATGAGACAAGAGCAAGAGAAGACAGAGCAAGATAAGATACGAAAATAAGAGGTGAATTGAGCCAAGAAAAGAAGAGATGAGAGAAGAAGAGAAAAGACCAGACAAGATGAGAAGAGGTGAGACGAGACGAGATGGAGCACTTCGAGATGACACAAGGAGAGGTGAAAAGAGACTAGACAAGAGCTAGACAATTCTGGCAAGATGAGAAATTAAAGGAAGTTATGGTGAGATGAGACCAGAAAATACGACATGAGAAGAGAAGAGAAGAGAAGAGAAGAGAAGAAATTAAGAAATGATATAAGCAAAGACGAGACCTGGTAAGACAAGAAAAAAGGTGAGAAGATGAGGAGATGTGAGGTGAGATGAGATGAGAGCAAAATAAAGTAAGCCATTGTGACAAACTAAAAGAAGAGATGAGACGAGATGAAATCAGAAGAGATGAGAAAGGAGACAGGAGTTCTGAATAAGTCTTAGCAAGCATGCATTGTCATTTCTGCAGAGATTCACTCATTAAAGAGCCTGAAGAGAGACTGAATGAGATCAAGCTGCGTTCTGCTTTCAAACACTGATGTCTTAAGACTCCAGAGAGACACCTGGGCTGTTTCAAGTCCCCTTGCCCCACTTAGAGCTGCTCCTGGAGGGCTAAAATGTCTTTCTCACTGCCCTTACTTCCACAGAGAAAGCACTTCTGGCAGTCTAATGAACCGCATGCTGGGGGAAATGACCTGACCACATGCGCAAACACACATACACACACACACACACACACACACATACACAATGTAACCTCTACAGAGACACAGGGACAGAAAAAATGTCAAGATCCAGAGAAGATAGAAGGAGAGATGGAAAGGTGGTGATAGGACCTATGCTGCCCCCCCCCCCCCCAAGCACT